GCCAACCAGCGACTAATGCTCACTGGCACGCCACTACAGAATGATTTGCATGTATGATAGCCGTCAACTGTTTTGTCTTAAGCTGCTAAAGTTTTTTCGCATATAGTGCGTTTGTACATCTTCTATGTATGTTATATGTCAGGACAAATGTCTATTAGGGACATTCTTGAGTGTTAATTTTATGACTTTACTTTGCTAAAAAAATAAAAAATATTTTTTATTTCTTACAGGTTATTTACCAAGTAAATTTCAAGGTGAAAAAGCTAAAATGGCACTTCAAAGCAGACAATTAAAATTGTCCAATCCCAATCTTGGTTGCATAACTTATACTAGCAGAACAAATTGGTAATGAAATGCAAAGATATTTATTATTTCCACGAGGAGTAATAAAAAGCTGTCTCTCATATTCCTGAATAAATTTTGACGTCTTTTGACCTCAATAACCCTGGATGATAGTGTAGAGAAACGTCTATTCTTAAAGCAGCTTGCTCATTGTCTGTTGATGTCAGCGACTCTGGTGTCAGAACTTCTTGCAATGTATAGCCAATCCTTGCAAGGTCAGTTTTGGGGTTCTTTACCCTGGATTGAGCACTTACGAGCTATACCAGATGTAATAATTCAACAGATTCTATAACTTGCCTTGCTCCAGGGGGAATGCTCTCAACTACTTTTTTTGGTTCAATTTCCCCCCCTCTTTTCGCCATGTTTGGCTGTGATGAAAAACTTTGTCAATATTTAAGTATGCGAGACATTCATAGCTCTCTTACACTTGATTTCCTGAGCAGATGCTATTTGCTGTACATTTCTTAGTGAGTTGCGTATATGTTTTCTTGATTATTTTTTTGTAATTTTGTGTGTGATCTCTGCTTCTTTGGCCACTGTTTTCATGATTAGTGCTCATCTGTACGCTTGATTTTGCTTTGTTCAGTTAGTGGTTTTCTATTGCAGGAACTTTGGTCAATTCTGGAGTTTATGATGCCTGATCTATTTGAAACAGGAGATGTTGACCTGAAAAAACTATTGAATGCAGAAGATAAGGAGTTAATTGCTCGAATAAAGTCCATTCTTGGACCTTTCATTTTGAGAAGATTAAAATCGGACGTGATGACACAACTGGTACCAAAAATACAGATGGTATGTATTTTGTTCTGTTTGTATTTCTTGTTTTTCATTTTCTTCACTATAGCTATTTCCTTCTTTGGTCTATTGATGTTTAGACTCTGCTATTCATGGGCTTGCCTAGAATCGCTCACAGCTTTTACATGTTAGACTTAGTATATGACAGAAGAATTTCTACTGCAGGTTCGTTATGTTGGCATGGAGAAAGATCAAGAAGATGCATATAAAGAAGCGATTGAAAGCTATCGTGCTGCATCTCTAGCTCGTGTTTCAAAGCAACATGAAATTAGTACCAATAGTGCTGCTGTTGTCTTTTCTAGACGACAAATTTCCAATTATTTTCTTGAATTCCGCAAGGTTCTGAAGCTTCTTGATCTACCTGAATATTTATTGTCCGAACTCCAGATTTTTGACAAATAATGCTATGGTTTCTTCAGATTGCAAACCATCCTCTGCTTGTCAGGCGTATTTATACAGATGATGATATTGTTCGAATTGCTAGAGTTATGCATCCCAAAGGTGTCTTTGGTTTTGAATGTACAGTTGAAAGAGTGATTGAGGAGCTGAGGAGCTATAATGACTTCTCCATCCACAAGGTATACTTTCTTTTACCTCACTCATTTTTCTTCTACAAACTATCTGGTTCGCATGCATTGGGTTAATCATGAAATTCTGCCATTTGACATATGTGTTTTGAGTTGTTTGGTATTCTCTGGCTGCTTATATTGTCAACCTCTGATAATCGTTGTAGTCAATCTAACTTCTTTCTGATAGTGAGATGCTAGTGGCAGAGTGCCAAGCAGCAAATAAAAGCTTAGAAGAAAGTGAAACGACATACACTTATCTACAAGCTTACAAGATCTTCTCTCTCCTCTTGGGGGGTTTTGAACCGGCTACAATCAATATTCGAAGCTATAGAAATACCTGTATTCCAGTTGTACTGTGTTTTGATTCCACTCTTAAATAGTTATATTTGGTGGCATGTAATTGACTTAGGAAAACATAGCCAAAAGGAAAACAACAAATGAAAAAAAGAAAAAGGAAAGAAAATGAACCAGCAGCTTAATTGCATTCTCCAAGAGCTTGAAGACTCTGTTTCGTCCACATTGGGGAGTGATCTATTTCTCTTAACCAATTTAGAGGCCTTGAATTGTTATGTCTTCCAAGGGAAAGAAAGGGCCAATAAGCAGAAAGGAAAGGAAGACTAAAGAAGGAACAAAGGGAATTACCAGTGAACAATTGTGCAGATGATCTGTGTTAGCCGGGTTTAGCGAGAAGTTTAAGAAAGGACCTGATGATATGAAGAAATTTTCGAGGGGATAATCTGGTGATAGGTAAGAATCGGTTTAGATATCAATTGTGATAGGCAACCATAGGTATAGTTGTATATATATGAATTTACATGTCAATCAAACGACATCATAAGTTGAAGGGAGAATACATAAGTACCCCCTCCAACTTATTTCCTTTTTTCAACTGAACGCTTAAGGTTTGTAGGGGTCCTATGACCCCCCTGAGCTTATTTGGAGGCGAATTATTACATCCTTATTTGCTGATGTGGCATAGAGAATGTATTAACTCGACTTAACGCGCATGACAAGTAAAAAATAAGGCAATAAATACAAGTTATAGCCGGTAAACTTCATATTCTCTGACCAAACACCGTAGTTAACGATAAAAAACCATAGCTTGAGAATTGAAAGTTGCGCAAACAGCCAAACACCATTCTTTCATTTATCTACTTGATCTTCTCCGTCTTCTTTCGTATTTCCTCATATAATTGTTCACATACAATTCTCTTAGTTCTGGTTCTTTTCGATTTTCATTGTAACCAGATGAATTTATTTGTTTCAAACAATAATAACAAGGAAAATACAAAAAATGCTAAATCAACTTCTTTTTGGGTATTTATGGAAAGGCAGATTTCACTGTTTCCTCTTAAATTTATGCTTTTTCTCGTTGTTTCACTTCCACATTAGCAAATTCTTATCCTTTTACCCATCATTTTTATTCCATTTTCTTCTTTTTATTTTGATTAATCGGGGTTGGTTTTATCTATTTTTCATTTCCTTTTTGTTTTTGTGATACATTTGAGGTGGATACAATATGCTGTTGTTTCTTCTTATATTTTGACTAAGTGGGTTATCTGTTTTGCGGTTTTATTGTTGAGCAATTTGAGGTGGGTATTTTGTTCTCTGATCGATTTGCTTCCATGGTGAAGAGAAGCTTGTGGGATTTGGAGAGACCCTTGGATGTATTTTAGCCGAAAGCTGTCGTTTGACTGGTTTTGTTATCATATCAAACAAAAGAATGTGGAGAAGATAACATGAAAAAGAGAAAGAAACTAAAATTTACTTTTTGAAAAAAAAGAAGAGAATATGACATGGAAAATAGGTGGCAGTGTGTGAATTACATTGCCTAATTTGGATGTGGAAATTTGCTTTCGGGGTGGTAATAATTTCATCTGAAATATGTTTAGGGGGGTTATAGGACCTCAGCAAACTTTAAGTGTTCAGTTGAAAAAAGGGAACAAGTTAGAGGGGGAAATTATGTATTCTCCCTAAGTTGAGTTTTACATTTATCTTAATAAAAGCTGGATGGCGAATGACTTCATGTTGGACTAACTTTTCGTCAACCTTCACCATTACTTGGCTTCATGTTCGACTAAGTGATTTCATTTTTAATCAATATCTTTTTGTTTCCTGCCTTTCTTGCTTTTCCTTTTTCCCTTATTTTTTTTNCTTTTTCCGTCCGTAGAACCCATTAACCTTGTTTTAATTAATTTTCTCATTACTTGTTCTCATATTGTCACTAATTGATTTGTATTTCGCAGAAGCTGCCAAGTTAGAATATGTAGGGGAGGTATTAACAATTAGGTGTTGATCGCAGAGTTAGAATATGCAGAAAGGTATTGACAATGGGGTGTTAATAAAAACGAAAACCAATTCGCATGTTCTGATACTGCAGCCTTTAAACTCTGAAATGACATCTTTAAGTTAGAATCTGGTTGTTGGAGTAACATGATTAACTTACTCCACTACTGACGACAATATACAATGGAAGCAAAACTAAAAGAGGAAGGAAAACAAAGAAAAAAAGAAAAAAGATGGTATTTAAGAAGTGTAAAGAACCTTTATATATATCCTTTCCTTATAAAAAAAGAAGTGTAAAGAACCTACACTTGATAATGGACAACCAATTGAACAAAGTCAATTAGCCTTCCATTAATGCATAAAGTTTAGACCCAAATGCAATCAAGAGATCTTGTAAGTAATCCTATGAAGTATCCAAGCAAGCACGAGCAAACATAGTCCTCATAATGTTCAATCTCATCTAAAATCTAAGCAAGACTCTTAACCTATTTTTACTTATGATTATAGTAGCACTATGGGCGGCCAAATCCATTACGTAAAACCAAAAAAATACAACAAGACTAAGTCTAACTAACTAAAAGAAGTTAAAGATTGACATATAGCCAAATAACCACTACATGGTCATGGACCAATAAGTGGGCACTTCCGTAACTTCCAACTTTAGTCCATTCGGGGTTTAGCCAATAATCAAGGTCAAACTTGTTTAAATCCTCCCACTCTTCACTTGGACTACTTGAACTTTGATCCTCTTCCTTGGTCATCATCGTGAGCAAATTATACTCTTTGGGGAGCCTCCCTAGTGCCTCTTGATGTTCCTTCACCTTTTTAAGGAATAAATGAATTCTTGATCTCCTTGTCTTGCCTCCTTGTCATAGGGGTAAATTGTGGTGCTTCCTCCTCTTGAGTAGGATCTTGGAACCTAATTTGTCGTCATCTCCTCCTCTTGAAGAGAATGTGTTCTCGAATTCAAGTCACCTATAACAAAATTAGATAAGTCACTAACATTAAAAGAGTTATGCACTTGAAACTCTTCAGGCATATCCATCTTGTATGCATTTTCTTTATCTTCTCAAGAACTTGGAAAGGGCCCAGTTCTCTTGGAAGCAATTTGTTCTTTCTCTTGTCTGGAACTATGTTGAGCCGACTCTTTATTTTAGCCGCCGCACCCATGTCGACACGACACTGGTACTAGTAAGGGTGTGAGATTCGTACCGGGTGTGGTCAATCGAGATCGGGTACTTTGACTACAATCCATGGACAAATTTGAGGAAATAAAATGAAAGATTGAATTTTAGCTGATGCCTGCTAGTTCCTACAACTTGAGAAATTCTCAAAATGAAAGATTGAATTATTAACTGCACTCCACAACTTACAAGTAAGTTTTCCACCGAATATATCATAATTTAAGAGATTTTTATAGATCTAAAAAAGGGCTGCCCGGTACACTTAACTCCAGCTATGCGTGGGGTCCGGGGAAGGACGGGACCACAAGGGTCTATTGTACAGAATTTTATAGATCTATTTTAGAATTTGAAGTGCTTTTAGCCGAATTCCCATACCCGTATCCGTACCTGGATCCATAACCACGAATCTTCAAATTTAGATTATGAAGGATCCGACATCTAGATCCGCACACGGTTCGGATACCTGTACCTGAGTCCGAGCAACATAGGCTTGGAAAGTTCTCATTTCAGAAGTGTACATGCACCCAATCCCCCGGCTTACTTCCCTCTCCTTCCCTCTTTGTTTCTTCTCCAAGTATTGGTAGAAGTCCTTTATTTTATTTTTTGGAGATCGTAACATAGTGTATATATATTCAACAGCTGTACACAACCTGTGCAACAGTCCTAATTACGGAGTGTGAAACAAAAGAAAACATCCTAATGGGACATCAAAAAGTGATTCTATATCCTCTAGGGATTCCTGTTTACACCAAAAGTAATATAAAAAGAAGCATTTCATCTTGATTTCCTGAGTGTGGCTGCATCAATTTTCAAAACATCTTGAGTTCCTCTCTTTCCAGATTGTCCACCATATAGCAGCAGGGATAGTTTCTATCTCCCCTTCTGCTGTCTTCCTGCACTGCTCCAGCATGCTAAGACTTCAGTAATCTTCCTTGGCATGATCCAGCTGATTCCCCTCAGATTAATGAATGCCCACAGTTGCTGGGCAGTCATTTGACGGTGCAAAAAAAGATGGTTGATTGTCTCTACTTCCTTCCCACATAGATGACATCTGGAACATAGTTGAAAGCCCTTTTTCATTGAATTATCCCGAGTTAAAACTGCTTCCTTTGCTACAAGCCAGATGAAGCATGCTACCTTCTATGGAACCTTTATTTTCCATATATGTTTCCAGGGCCAGTGACTGATCTGATTGTTTGGTTGGTGCCAGTGACTGATCTGATTGTTTGGTTGGTGCAAATTCAAATATGCTGTCTTAACAATGAATTTTCCATTACCCTGCCCCTGGCACCACAATCTATCTTCAGAGTTACTGGTCCCATTGAATTGTTGGGGATAGTAACTATCAATAGTCTGTCTATTTCACAATCATTCATCATTCTTCTGAAAATAAGCCCCCAGCCTTGATTTTACCAAACTTCACCTATGGTTGCCTCTTGTTGATTCTTTAGCATGAAAATATCTGAATATAACTGCTTCAGAGCACTGTTTCCTAGCCAGTTGTCTCCCCAAAAGAGTCTTCATCCCATTCCCAACTTT